AATATAAAAAATTTTAAGTCAATTCCTACTTAAACCAACAATTTTTTTTTTATTTTAGCTACTTTTTATTAACTAGTTACAATTAATATAAATAGGTATATACAAATGACAGAATCACAACATTAAGTGGTAATTAATTTTTATCATTAAAGTATCGTATTGCTATCCAAAACAATCGTGTATTTTAAATTTCAGTTCAACTGAATGCTTTAAAACGTGAGAAAAAAACCTTTTCAAGTTTTGACTCAAGTCGCCAAAAATAATGAAAGGTGGCTGTATTTGTAATTCTTTGAATAGTTTTAATCAATTAATTTTTATTAATTATAATTAAACTAGCTGTTATACTCGTTCTTCGCACGGGTGAATTGAAAAATTAAACAATACAGATTGAAGGATAAAGAAGTTTTTAATGAGTTAATTTTACGTGAATTATAAATAAAACAAGCAAACAAAAAAAGCTTTTTGCATATCTCAGCTGAATAAAAAAAAATCCTGTTTGCTAAATTTTAAGTTATTTAAGTAAATAGCTGATAAAAAGGATTTTTTTTATCTATAACTCCCCGTAACTCTCTCTCGTGGGCCAATTTTTGAAAACACTTTCCTAAGCCGATCTCTGCTTAGCAAAAGTAACACATTGTTACAAATTTTGTGTAATGAACGCTTAAAATAGTATAAATAAGTTATATCTGGAAGTGTAATACATTAATATTACTTTCTGTTTTTATTTTTTTTAAATTTTAATCAGCCTCACACTCCACCTGTACAAGCTTTTGCAGTTCCTGGCACCTGGCGTAGACCAACCAATATGCAAAGTTTTGATTCACACATAAAAGATAGATATATGCTGTCACGGGCTTTTTTGCAGATGGCAGAAAATTTTCCTACTTACTTGACAATTATCGTTATATTTTGGACACGTCCCACAATATCTTTATAAATTATAGCCTATGTGTTATTCTGATAAAAATCTATATTATTGTAAAGTTTCATTAAAATCCATTCAGTTGTTTTTGCGTGAAAGAGTACCAAACAGCCACAAAAACTTTCACGTTTATAATATTAGTAAGGATTACTGTATTGTCATCTAAAATAACCATGTATATAAAATTTTAGCTCAATTGAGCGCTTTAACATGTATTTTATTAACGATTGAGAACTCCACTAAGATAAATAAATAAATATATAGAGTGTGAGCTAATAGTAGGAATTGAATAAAAAAAAACTATTTAAGCAATTTTTTAAAATTAAACAGCAATAAAGAAAATTTATATCTCTTAATGACAAAAAATGATTCAAAAATAAAATATTAGTTCACTCAAAGATTTCAATATTAGTAAAAAACTTTTTAAAGGAAAGGATCCCACAAAGCATTAGAAAATCTTTATGCTAATATTGAGAAACTGGGCCTGCTTTTACTAGTAATGTTTTTATTTGAAACAATTTTCAAAAATTTGAAAATCGTTTAAAAAAATTCAGCTAAGAAACATTTTTGCCAACAATGGGATATGTTATCGATCTCTCTCTCTCTATAGTTGTATCTATATTATTAAGAGTTTTTATTTAACTTGCAATCTAAAATGTTCGTGTGTGTGAATCTTGCAACTCAATTTTGAAGCTGATGTCTTCAACCGATTGAGCTGAAATTTTGTATACACGTTTAGTTTGGATGACAATACATGTTTTGACCATTCATATTCCGAATATTGCAATTAGTTAAAAAGATATGAATTAAAAACCTTTTACCCCTGTTAGCTTTTTATTCTGCCGAGCAGCGTATCCGATTGAGCCTAAATTAGTTCCGATTTTTCGACCTTTTTTAAAAAAACCATCTTATGCTTTCTATCCAAATGAAAAAATAATTATTCAGTTGGAAAGATCCTTTGTTTCGCCACAATACGGTATAATTTTTTTTAAAAAATAATAATATTTTCTGTTTTTTACGATTTTTTCTAAAATGAGAAAAGTCGATGCGTTTTCATGAAAATGATTTCTAAATCGTTCCGTATGAACTTTTTTTTCGTGTTAAGGAATCGATATTTTGCACTAAGAAAGTTCAAACTGTTCTCTTTTAGAATCAGTCATTTAAAAAATAAAATGACGAAAACTTTTTTTTTACGATTTTTAAAAAAATACTGAAGTTTTTAATAAAACATTTAAAAACGATTTATTATGCGATTATCTTTAAAAATGACGATTTTCAAAGGTAATCGCACGAAACATTTTTTTCGTTTGAAGAATAGTATTATCCAAATTCAGCACAAAGATTGAAAAAAATTGGTTTAAAATTGCGGATTTAAATTTTTTCGTGTGTTTGTTTTTCGTTTTTAATATAGTATTATTGTAAAAGAAAAGAAAAAAAAAGTTTAAATATTTTGATTAATTTTACTTTGTCCAATATTTTTATGGTCTTACAGCGTTTATCCCCCCTCATTATCCTCTTGTTGCGGCCCGAGTGAAAAATATCGATCATATGTACGTGGCCCGGCGGGAAAAAAGATTGAGTACCCCTGAGCTAGCCTGTTCAAAATTAACCGGCAAACGACCTTGCAACAATGATGCATTGAATGAGATGAACAGACTGAGAAACCTGTCCAGCTATAACTAAAAAGTAAAAAATAAAAGTAAGAAAACTTTTTTTAAAAACAAGCTTTTATTTAAATGCTCTAAAAAGAACAAAATAAACTTGTCTTTTAAATTTTTTTTGCTATCAATTAATAACATCATTACACAATTTATGATATAAAAGCTTGTCGCGAGATTTACCTGTGTAGATAAACAAGCAAATGAAATAACTTGATCTGATTGATTTTAATTTTTAAAATTTTCAAATTAAGTAAATACGAGTACTTAAAATTCGCGACAAGCTTTTATATCATAAATTGTGTAACGACTTTATAAGTTGACAGCAAAAAAAGTTTTAAAAGAAAAGTTTATTTTATTCTTTTCAGAGCATTTAAATAAAAGATTGTTTTTAAGAAAGTTTTTTTACTTTTAATTTATCTGTAGATAACATCTTAATAAAGTGACTGAAGCAATACCTCTTGTTTACTATTAAATGTTCTGCGTTTTTTGTTGACACAAATTGTTTCAAAAGTAAGAATTTAAGGCTGTGAAAATTTTTAATATTGATGGAGAAATGATATACAAAAGATCCAAAGATTTTAATAAGCCTTAAGGCAAATGTTGAAAAATTAAAAACTATGGGTTTAAGGATATAGTAGATTTATCAAAGAATATTTAATAAAATAGTAAAAAATAACGAAGTTTGGTTTCTTTAATAAAAGAAGAGTTCACGAGAAAAGAAAATATTTAAGGTTAAACAATAGCAACATTTCATTAGAATGTCTTTCTTTTTCTTAGTAATTATTCTAAAAAAATATCTTACGCTAATAAAGTTAGAGTAACGAATAAAATATTTTTAAAAATTCATTTAAACCAGAGTTGAAGCGTAGTATCTGATATTATCCAAATGAAGTCAATTCTTTGAAAAACAAAAAGGAAATAAAAGAACTAAGTACAATGTTTTCAATGTTTGAGCTAACACAGGCGTTATAGTTCAATTTTCTCCGTGGATGACATTTTATATTTAATTTTTTAAATACTATAGTTCTACCAAAACAAATGTTAATGGAGCTGCAGAAAGAAAGCTGTTACTTTAGTTGTAGATGGAAAAATAAATCTCTTAAATTGTTTTAGTTATTTAGTTAAAAATTTATAAAAGTTGGTTAAATAAGGAATCGCAGAAAATCATATAGAATCTTATTTTCATAAAATAGTAAGGAAACATGAATAATGTTTTTCTTAGTTGAATAAAATATGTTTCAACCTAAATAACGTAACACCAATAATATTTCAGCAGATTTTTTCGACATTTCACACAATATTTTTTCCAAGAAAAATAACTTAATTAGTATATTTTAATGCTTCGTAACTTAAACAACTTTGCCAGAATTGCAGCAGAAATTTATGGCCTTCCAATTGATTAGATTTTTTCCGTCGCTTTATCAAGAGATAATTCATGATCTTAATCAAGGTGTTTTGTAATTAGAAAATCCATTAAAATTCAAAAAAAGGTTGTACATTTTGTTTTCAACATTATGGACACTTATTTTTGAAATTTTCCTCCTAGTAATTACTGAAGAAATGAATGAATATAATTTGAAGTATGTTATTATTTTTGCTCCTGAATGCAAATTGATGTACAATGCACTAAAAACAGGAATTAATATCTTAATAGTGTGTTACCCAAAGTGAATTAAAAATAAAAAGCCTTTTTGATGGATAATTTAACTAAGCTTGCTGAGCTGTAAAGAACATGCATTGCCTTTTTAAAACTGTATAATGAAGTTAAGGTGTCCGACTACATGTGATACATTTTTTTTTTAAAAAAAATGGGACCTATAAGGACTTTTATTATAATTTTTTTTATTTGTGTACTAAATTACATGAGAAAAAAACAATAAATGTGAAGAAAGCAAAGTCTTTTCAGTAATAAGAGGCTAAAAACTGGAAAAATATTATTTTTTTTCAAATTAAATAAATGGTGCCCAAACAAAATATTTATGAAAGATATAATGTTAAAAAAAGGCTTAATAGGTAAAATCCTCTATGACGATTTAAAAGTATAAGTATATCTCTTACCTTATTAAAATTATTTTCTAACTAGATATTATTTGATTGTTTAATTATTAACTAATATAAACTGTGCTGTAGCAAACATAAGCCTCTAGAATACACCATGCTGTAGCAAAATATAAGCCTTTAGACATTATAATGATAATAAAAATAACAACGTCCTAAACATATAAAAGTTCAATACAAAAATATGAAAAGCAGTAATAATAAATTTTTTTTCGACATGGCTCAAAATAAAAATATATTAAACACCTCCGTTGCCGACTATCTACATAATTTGAGGTTGAATTCAGAAGGAGAGAGAGAAACAAAGGAATATACAAATCCAAAAAAACATTATTTTAAAAAAAACCAAGCATCAAGAGGCCGTCCAACCAGTATGGTGGATATGACTCTCGGCTTGTAACCGAGTGTGTTCGGGTTCGAATCCTGAGTAAGGCATGGTTGCATCTTCTTCGGGAAAGAAGTTGGACTTTTGCCTGTAATGGATTTCCGTCTCGAAAGGAGAGTAGCGCACCTTTCCGTTATATGCTGGGATTATCATCTGTAATAAATGTCTATATTCTTTGTATTGTATATATATTTTTGTTCTTCCGCTTGTATTTCATATGTATTCCAGTATAAAAAGCACACGACGACAACAACAACAAGCCACAAGAGGAAAAAATACCCTTTCCATTATAATTTTAAGTTTTTCCCCATTTATTTTATTTATATCGCATATTTGAAAAAATATTCTCCCTATTTCTAAATAAGCAATTATGCAAAGAAATTGTTCTTAGTCAAATTGTGCACACAATTAGCCTCATTTGTATATTCATAATTGCTCCTATCCGATCCTCTATTACATAATTGCATGTAATTAATTATCCATAATATGCTGTGTGCACAATGATTCTTCCATTCATATATACAAAAAATAAATTCTTCAATCATTATTTACATTAAAGACCTGATTCACTTGCTTTTAAAACGGTGATGAGAAGTTTAATGCTTGACGGTTACATTGTACGCCTCGAGTCCTTAAAAAAAGTCCGTTAAATATATGTAAGATTACAATTGAAATCCTTTCATTTTCATCCAAATATTTTTGTTCATTATAGATAAATATTTGATTTATCAGCTTAAGTTCAAGTTTAACCCTTCATTTATGGGCTGTACGCAGTGAACTCATGACCTTGAAAAATCCTTTGGAAATCCCAAAGAAATCACACCTGCTTACACAATCTAACCTTTATTTGGTTATTTATCTTATCAAAAACACATCACCGAAGAAATAAGTGGTAGCAACACTTGTGGTTGGGATTAATCAACGGTACAGTATTAATATGTTCGCGCTGCCAACTGCTTACACATGCAAAATCTACGTGAAACTAAATCATTGTAATTTTTTTCATTGTTATATCAAGAAAAATTATGAGCATTTGCTACAAATAAAGAATTTATGTAGTATATTTGTCTTTTTATCAAATATCTTTTTTTATTTCAGAAGTTTTATTTTATTTATCAACTCTCTAATAAATATGCCTTTTTTCATTGCTTCTATACATATCTAATTTATTCAAGTAATTTATTTATTGAAAAATATAATAAAGTATTACTTTATACCATTCAAACAAATTGGCACTTAAAGAGTAACTTTTTCTTTCCTATGCAACGAAGGTTTAAAAAGCCTTAAGTATCTGAGTATATGTAATGATTAAGGTTTCATAAAAGTTTTGTGAAGGTGCTATTTTTCTCTCTCTCTCTGAAAGTATGGCATATCAGCAAGGTCAAAAACAAATGGGTAAGAATATTTCATTTTTAAACTAATTCTTGAAAGCTGCATATTATTTGAGAGGAAATTTATCAAATTTAGCGAAATTTATTTAAATTGTTTTCTTTTTTATTACTTTGAAGCAAATAAAGCTGGGAAAACTAATAACTAGTAAAATACATAAAATTAGAAGAACAAACATGTGAGAAAATAAATTTGTGTAGGATGCAATATTATTCAAAAAGGAATCATTACCACACAAAAAATTCAAATAGGTATAATTATAATTGAAACTTGTTAAGTTACAAATATTATTACTTTTAGGATCATTTATAGAGTATTACAAAAGTTCTAGAAAACAAAAGGATATATATGTGTTTCACCAAAAAATTCATTAAATATTATAGATTTATAGATTTTTTTGCGAACTAAGAAATTAGGCGGGGAGGGCATAGTTTTTTATTTTCACTTGAAACTTTTCAAAAAGATTTAAGAACCTTAAAATTTAAATGTATTTTGTTTTTTATTGTATTAGCTGCATCCAGTTTGCTTATAAATATATATTTGTGTGTATGCATGTAACTTGACAAAAAATGTATCGTTAAAAACACATTTTGTTGGATCACTAGTAAATTTCTACTGGATCGAATGTTATTTCGGGAATAAAATATTTCTTCGAGCGTTTTCAAATTAACGATCACCTTAAAATAACTCCATAATCTAACACATACAATCCAATTCATTTAAAAATCTATCCCTATTCCTTTCACACCGACCTCCGATTGAAGAAATGTCTGAAAACAGGATTATAGCTTCGTTATCCGATAAAAATATTTCCATTCAGAAAAATCTCCGAAAAAATTTTGCCCTTTTTCCGACAGACTGATCCTCACAATTTAATGATTACAAGAAAAACGGTCCTCATTAAAAGTTGAGTAACAATTTTTTGAAAGAAATGCGCGCGCGCGTGCGCATTACAGCATAAAACTTCAAATCAATTTCCCTTCCTTTTTTTCAGTTACTCTTTATTTTCCTAAAGTGCACTTTTTATCCGTTTTTCTATTTATTGAAATACATATTTAGCTTAAGGTTGTGTATAAGAACTTCTTTTAGCATATATAATGCCTTTTTTCCTTTTAAGAAATCTTTTTAACTAGAAAAATGTATTCTGTGAAAATCTTTTGTCCACGAATAGCCAATATGTGTGTGTGCATGTAAGTCATCTACCTAAGAATTGTAAAAATGTTAATTTAGCAATCCTATTAATGATTATTTATATTTTCCATTCAATTGTTGTTGCTATGAAATATAACCTTTATTTATTAAAGTTTCCTTTTATCAGTCTTTTTAAATTCATAAACGTAATTTTACGGAAATTTCAGCCTTTGTTTCTCTGCTAAAAGGGTTTGTGACTGGAAAGAACGTTTGTAAGTCAAAAATGAGTGTTTTTTTCCCAATAATTTTATAGTAAATATGATCTACCTTAGAAACGGATTACGTCACCAAGTTGGCTGACAATATAGATGCCTCTAGAATACTCCAGAAGGGTCAAGAATGATTATTTGACGAGAAGGTCCTAGAAGGCTCTTCCCAGTTTCTATAAGGAGGATACAGAAAAGCAGCATTGGAGTAAAAGAATTGACAATGACAGTGTATTTCATTTGTCTTTAGCGAAATTGGAATTATGAGTTTTAATTTTTGTGTTTAATATTTTTTCTAAATTTATGCTATTGTAGATTTGTACATGTGTGTTATATGATTCCTGCTGGAAGAATGTTCCAAAACAAATTAAAATTTATTCCAAAAGAACCTCCCTTTTAGTTATGAAGACTTTTCTTGAATTTAGCTACGCATTTGCATGGCCAAGTAGTAGCCGCGGTAGCCGAATGGTATGGGTATCGGATCGTGGCTGGCTTTGTCACGAGTTCGAGCCCAGTACCACTAAAGAACCGCCGCGTAGGGCAGCGATGTACGCTAAATATGTCGAGAGCTGAAACGTTCTCTCGTTGGTGTGGTAGTTAGGAGAGGGAGGTGTTAACTCAGGTGTCATCCATGTCACTTGACCATGGTTCAAAATGACGTGGCCGTCGCCAAAAGCCCTCATGTAGCTGAACAGTGCGACGTTAATATTCACTCACGCATGTCCAAGTACGTAACACAATTATCAGTTTTCTTCATAAAATTTTAAACTAATTCCTCATTTACATTATTCTTTATTGGAATATAATAAAATGCGTTCAAATGTTTTTTTTATGGATTTCAGAACTTTAAAAAAAATTGTGAATACTTACTCTATAAAATTGTTAAAAATAGATTTAATCTCGAACGAGAAACTTCATTACTTACTCTACATGTTGATTGACTTTTTATACTGATATGGCATTTTGAAGCTTCACGAGGGCTGTTGGCGGCGAATTCGCATTTTGAACCGAATAGAATTTGAAGGGTTTAAAGTATTTCCCTATCCAAAAACACATCAAGTTACACAAAGGAGTCCATTGATTGAATAGATAATTGTCTGTATATGAAATGGCAAAATCAGTAATTCCAAATGATTAACATTACTTTCAAGTTTAAAATTTTGAAAATAAAGTTTAAGAAGATTTGACTAACATTTTTTCAAAAAAACTTTTTTAAAATTTAAATCATTGTTTGAAAACATATTCCAGTTTCAATTCAGATATTGAAAAAATTACCTTTAAAATTTCTATTTTAAAAAACCTCAAACTAGAGGGGGATAACTCTACGAGGGGGCAAACATATTGAAAAGTCGAAAACAAAAGATTATTTTAAAAAATTATTAATTTACTGTAAGTAAACAAAATAAATTCTGACATAATAAAAAGTAAAATACATATTTACACTGATATAATACACTTATAAATGTATCAGTCTGTACAATGTATTTTATAATTAATTTAACATTACTAAGCTAAAGATCAAGTTTGATAATTACCTGTGACCTTATGGGATTGTATTAAAACTTATCTTGATAATTTGTACGGCTTATAATTAATTCCTTCATTGCCGATTAAAAGTTACGCGACATGCTACCCAAAGCCACTGTTTCCCACGTAGACGTTGATATGTGATGTTTTTTTGGGGGGGAGAAAAGGAATAAATAAGCAAATCCTCTGAAATAAGTAAATCCTTCTCAAACACTGCCAAGGTCCTTTTATAGCATTCCAAAGCCTTCAGGACCAAGGGGTCCTAGGGGTCCAGACTCCTCCCATAGTCCTTGATTTTTTTCTATTGGTTATAATCTTATGTATATATTAAGTAAAATCTAATTATGTATTTATGTATTTGTTATTAATAATTAATTTTATTAATTAAAGCTAATTATTTATTCAAAATTAATTTTTTGTTTTTGTTCCCGAAAATCGACAAAATCAAAAGAATATGTTGGGTGGCGTATTGGAGCACTTTCGACCCTGGACCTCCCCTTGAAAATTTTTTGTGTGCACTACTGAGAAAGACGTATATATACGTCAAGAAAATTAATGCTTTGTCTGAGCGAGGGGTTTATATACGCCGGTGGCACTTAAAAAGCTACAGTCGTATTGTAGTTTTAGCGTCAAAGTACAGTATTATTGAATTCACACAATACATTGTTATTGCATGGAAGGGGAGGGGCGATGAAAATTATGATTGAATACTGGGTCGTGAATATTGAAAGTTTGAG